CCCTCGCCACCTTCCCTCCCCATCTTCCCTCCCTCCCCTCAGGACGGCGCTACCCCGTTGTACCTGTCTGCGGAGAAGGGCCATGTGGAGGCGGTCAAGTACCTGCTCTCAGTGGGGGCGGACAAGAACAAGGCGGATAACGTACGAGGCCGGGGGTGGAGGGGGCGGGGTTGTGAGATGGGAAGGAAACACAGCAATAGACACGCAGGACCAATCGAAATGATTGCGTCAATCGCAGCTCCCCCTGCCCCCTGAGGTGACTTATCTCTCCCTTGCCCTCCGCCCGCTGTCTCCTTGCCTGGGTCCGGAGGTTGACACATCTCCCCTGCCCTCCCCTTGCTCCCCTTGGTACACTCTTGCCCTGGCAGCAGCTTCACTCGTTCGTGGTTCGTCTTTCCCTCCCCCTGCCCTCTTTCGTTCTATCATTACGAGGACTCCCCCTCCCTCGTCTCTTAATACTACCTAGTATTAGATGCGATTTCGTTCTATGCAACGCCAACCTCAACACCCAACCCCGTGTCCCTGGCGCCTGGCGCCCCTCAGATGGGCAAGCGGCCCGCGGACGTGGCCAAGAAGAACGTTGTTGACTTGCTCACCGGTGCAGCGCCCGCTGCATCCTGAGGAGAGTCCGATGCAACAGCGAACACCATGAGCACCACTACCGCCACTACCGCCACTACCGCCACATCCAGACTGAACACAGCCACAGCCAGAACCCCGGCCTTGTCCTCGGCGTCGGCGTCGGGCTCGTAGATGAACTTTGCGGTTTTTGTTCGTGGTTTGCTTAGCGGTTGGGAGCCCTGGGCCCATACACGTCCCTGTTGCTTGCTGTTGATGCGGCTCTTACTGCTTGCGGCGATGTGAGAGGCGGAGCGTGGGGAGCCGGTTTGTGGTGGGGGGAGGTGCGATGGTTGGCAGCGGGCGTGGCAGCAGGCGAGTTCGTGAGGTGCTTCGAGCTGTGGGATTTCTTGTGTGTGTGTGTGTGTGTGTGTGTGTAGCCAGACGGATTGGGGGATTGGAGGCATTGCGCCTTGCCTCCCCCTGCGGGTCCCTTGCTTCCCCGTTCCGGAATGGGGCGGATGTTAAGATCGGCAGTGCCGCAGCCCTGTATCGGTCGTTTGCGGAGAAGAGAAGGTGGGCGTGTGGGGGGGCCTTCTATGCGGGTACTTGAAACGCGTGCGTAAAATGATTTTTATGGACATGGACTGGGAAGCCGGAATTTTGCTGTACCTATGAAGCTGACACAGTATTCTATTTAACGGCGGGAGTAATAAGCGTGTTGGGGGGCTTGGACGAATATGGTCAAGTCTTCTTGTCGTTACCATCTTTGTGCGCGTGATAGTCTCCACGTCAGTAGTGGACAAGGGGCGGATGCGACCTCACGAGAGGTGGTGGTACTAGTGGTGGTGATGGTGGTGGTGGTGGTGGTGGTGGTGATGGTGGTGGTGGTGATGGTGGTGGTGATGGTGGTGGTGTAGGGAAAGGAGGAAGTACGCAAAAGGAGGTTGTTGCCTTACCGGACCCGAAGGTCCGCTCGCCGCCGGGCGAGGTGAGCTGTTGCTTGATACCATTGTTTCTCTTCAGCCAGGTGCCGTTAGATTTTTGCCATAAGGAGGGGGGAGATGTAGCGGGGGGCACACAGCCTGTGTCTTTCATTCATCGCTGGGTCTCGTTAATAGGGGAGTCAACCGCCGCCGGGTGCCCGCGGCGGCCAGGAGGTATGTGGACCCAAATCAAATTGGCGCATCCTTGCATTCCGTGTCCCCCCCGTCGGTTCATCTCCTCCTTGCTTGTGGCTAGTCGAAAAGCCTCGAACCTGGTTTCCTGCTACTTTTTTTATTGTTCATTAACTTGGGTGTTTGGGGTGCGTGTGGGCAGGAGGGGCCTGCAGGTAAATAGACTTGTGTATCATGACGGAGCTCACTGCGTTGATTGCTGTTGATCGCTGACTGCTGTTGCTAACCGCAATGTATTCATCCACCACGAGAAATGAAAGGCGCATAACGTCGGCTGGTGTTGCTTCCTCATGGGCTTCGATGTGCTATTTTCTTGGGTTTTCACAGTGTGTGTGTGTGTGGGGGGGGAGAATGAAGGCCCACATGTAGACTGATATAGACCGGGGGTGAGGAATCTTCTGGTGGGGGTATAGACGGAGGAGGGGGGGTGCCTGAGAGGCACACGTGTGATAGATTATTCCTGTGAAAAAGACTCATTAATCAACTTGAAGGCTTTGTCTGGGAACTGGTGACCAAATGCTTCCACCTTCATCACACTACCTTGTCATTATCCGTGTGCATATATAACATCCGCGCAGAGTCTTTGCCGGCGCTGCGTCAATCCGTGCAAAGTCTTCCTTGCAATGTCTTATTAACCCATACCGCACATGCAAGATTCTCGTGGTGGTAAGGGGAAATCCGGCAGTGTTTGACGTGGCAACGTTCATGCATGCCTCCTGATAATGCCCTTGCCCATGCCATGTCTTCATGGAGCGATACGGCATATGTTTAGACTTAAGTGTAAGTGCGTAAAGGCAGCCACGGCAGACACTGCCTCATTGCCTGTGTGCTTTCTAAACGACATGCAATTGTGTGACCAAATGGCGAGGCAAAGTCATTTTAACTTCCACGCGACCGGCTACACACGAATTCACACACCTTGCGGTGATTTCGATGAAGCTCATGCATTTGCACTGACTCGACACATATCAGACGCGTCGCCAGCAGCCGCATCCCACGTGCCGACACAGTACCGCTATCTACTCCATGTTTCAAGCATGTTACCCAAAGTTTCAGGTGGCCTCCCTGCCATCACCCCGACCACCACCGACACAGAAAATCTCGATGGAGAACTAACAACTCCGAAAAACCGCTGCTTTATAGATTACCTCTTTCCCCTCTTTCCCTCTTGGCTCTTCCAGATCCGCCACAAACATGCGCTGCTGTTCTCCGGCGTAATTATCTAAAGTCCTGCGGTCAGCTTTCGCCTGAGGTCAGGCACTCTATAGTGGATTGGGGCGCACACGCCTCACTCAGCCTGCTATCTCTCTCCCCCGGGGTCCCCCCACATGCACGGTTGCCACAAAGCCACATAGTTGAATGATACCAGTATTTTAGTACAGCAGTATTACGCCACCATCCATTCAGTCGCCATCATCAAGTTGCAGCGCTGCAACCTCCGCCCGCTCCTCCACGCACAGAAGAAAAAAGATTTTCTTCCAGCGCAGGTGGGCCTATGATGACGACGGCTACGATGGGGCTATAAATTCAGCAAATTGTCCGTCACGCTTCCTGATCCGCCGGCAGCTGTAGCAGCAGCTGTAGCAGCAGCAGCAGCAGCAGCAGCAGCACCTTGCTTTGTCGTGTCCCCAGCGACGACAGCAGAGCCCGGCGGTGGCGGCGCCGAACTACGCTTGCCAGTCCCTGCTGCGGCGCCTGCGTCCACAGGCGCCTTACGTGGACCTCCTCCAAGGCCCCCTGCATGTGCACCGGATCCGGCGCTGCTGCCACCAGGGGTCGCCACACCCGCTGACGCTGCTCGCCCAGTCGCCGGCGTGTGAACCCTAGGGTGCAGCCCCATTGCTGGTGTTCCGTGTCCCAACGATGCGACGGCTGCGCTGCGATAACTCGCGCGAAGCTGTTTATCCAGCTCACCACGGCCCAGGTCAGCGGCCTTGGCGGCAGCGGCGGCCGCCGCCGCGGCAGCAGCAGCAGCAGCGTGTCCGCCGCCACCACCACCACCACCACCACCGCCACGTCCGCTGCCACCACCTCGATGGTGGTGGCCGTGCTGGCCACCACCACGTGGGCCGCCCCCGCCGGCGATGGCTGTGCGTGGCGTGAGACCTGCCTTTATGTTCGCCGCAAGCTGCCGTGCCGCTGGCGAAAGTGGCACAGCCAGCGGCGTTTTGCCTCCGGTGGCGCCAGCGCGTGCGGTGGCGCCCGCTCCGCCACCAGTGCCCGTCGCGGCCCGTCGCAACGCCGTGAGGAGCGGCGTGGAGCCGCGGGCGGTGATGGCCCTGCCAGCCGCGGTGCCGCTGCCCGCCTTCGCTGCCGCCAGGCGGTGGGCCGCCTGCTCTCGCTCCGACATACCCTATGGACATTACAGGCGAGGCACGAAGTCTTTGCTCAAGAACTACGTGACAATCAAAAAACATTTTCTTCGCAGAGCAAGTTGCTGCTTTACATTTTTTAGTTTCTAACCAAATGACCCTATGTAACACTATGTGCCCAATCACTCCCATCCGACAGCCAACAGTCACAGGAGATGCTATTACAGTCCCGCAGCCGGTGGCTGTATTTCGCCATCGTGCTGACCTGCGTACCTGTCTTGGCCCTACACGCAACTGCAACAACACAACACGCACGTTCTCCATCACATCGTCCCGCAGTGTAGGGCCCGGGCCCGGGCCCGGGCCCGACCCGACCTGACCGACCTCGCGCGGTGCAGCACGGACACTACTATTTCACATATTGCCGCCGCATCCATCCATGGTAAATAAGTGATGATGACGACCGTTGACCATCGCAACCGCGAACATTTACGTCTTCACAGTCTCAATCTCCCCCTTCTCTGGAGCCCGAACCTCAGCTCCGCGATCCGCAATCCGCTTTTAGTGAACCGCTTTCACGCATGCTGTCTTGCATCGCACGGTTTTTTCCCATCCCGGGGTCATTTAAGGAAACTGCCCGGCATCCGCACCCTCGAGCCGGGCCCCGAGCCAGGGCCGCCACCCTCCGCACCTGCACCCGGAAGCTCGGTCCGCCCCCCACCATCGCCTCCAGGTCTACCGGCATATCGTCTGCACCCAGACGTAGCGGCGTCGATTCAATGTCGCCCCACGTCATCAATGGAGACGCCATGACGTCCTCCAGAGCTGGAGTAGCCATCGGCGCGTAGCCCACCGTGCCAATCAGCCCGCCGGGCATCGGCGCGCCCGCTGGCGCACCGGCGGCTGCTGCGGCCGCGGCGGCAGCGGCGGCTGCCGCCGCCGCATCTTCACCGTTGGCAAGAGCCGCGGCGGCGGCGGCAGCCGCTGCCGCCACTGGCGCCGCCACCGTCAGTGGTGGCGCCTCAGGCGGCGCCTTGAGCCTCGTGCCAGCACGATTGATTTCCTTGGGCGGGCCGAGGGCTCGATCTGCCAGCTCTTTAGCTGAGAAGGGCACCTCAGGACGTTGGCTGGAGTCATAGAAGAGGGCGTTGACCACGGGTTCCGGAGCGGGCAACAACGTCATGGGCATCTGTCCCGAAGTGCCGTACTCGTCCGAGGGCCGGTCCTTGGGACCCTCTAGCAGCAGCTGCCGGGTTTCGGGGTCGCGCGGGTCGGGGCGTTCCAAATGGTGCCGCACCTGTGCCGTACGTGACAAACACAATCACTTTCTCAATCATTAGTCGCAGCAGTAATGTACGTAGGGCATCATCAAGCTGCAATCATTGTAGGTCATGGCTGCGTATATACATGGCTGCGTACGTACGTACATACATACATACATACATACATGCATGCATGCATACCTTTGCACGTTTCCGCCGGTTGTCCTCTTGGAGGATAGCCTGGAAGGAGGCATTGTCCTCGGATGTGTAGCGACTGAGGAACGCGTCCAGGCTGAGATCGTCGGGGGTTGCCGTCGCCGAGGTAGCTCCCCCAGCGACGGCAGCGACGTTGGCCGCTGCTGCGGCGGCGGCGGCTTCCGTTCCCGTGCCGCCGCCACCCACAGCAGGCGTCATGGCGGGGGTACGCAGCAGTGCAGTTCCTGGCGTGGCTGTTGCCCAGCCGGCGCCGTTGCCTGGCGTGTGGAAGGGCGGAAGCAGGCCTGGAGTGTCGCCGCCGATGCTGCCTGGAGCTGGTGTGGCGCCAGCAGCTGCAGCAACAGCAGCAGCTGCTGCTGCGCGACGGCGTGCGATGTTGCGCTGTGCGCGCTGCATTTCACGAATGTCGCCGCTGTTGACAGCGCGAAGCCATTCTAGCTGGTTCACCATCTTAGGCAGCTCCGGGAAGTAGTCGCGCTCGATGATGGCTTCAAGCTGCTGTGTGTATGTGTCCTCGTCCAGTACGATGGGCTGTTTCGGCTTGGGAGCAGGTGCCGCGCCGGGCGGTCGAGGCGGAGGGGGCGGCATCAGGCGACGAAGCTCCTCATCGCGCGAAGACGCGGCGTTACTGACAAGCGCCATCGTTGTCGGTCACTGCTCGGCTAGGGACGCCTTGCGGAGCTTTGTCCCGGAATGACCCCTAGATGGAAGCCTTTCGATAAAGCTCCTCAGATTTCGCCCAAGCAGCTGAAGACACCTAGTTATATGAAATACCTATGTGCACATGAGCTCAGGCTAGAGTTATCAACTTCAGATAATGCAGAAGCTGTGGTAGACCAGGGGGTTCCCCTCGGACCTGGGTGTTGAACGATAGCAGTTCCTGCATAGGGTTGTGGCTATATCGAAGTATGCACTTCAAGACGTTTAGAGCGTTGCACGCATAGCAGGGACAAGACTTAACTCAAAACAGTTTGCTTCGTCAATCCTGTGAAAATTGGGCTATACCTGCTATGCCCTTGGGTTGTAAAACGTCCAGATATGCTAAGTATCTATCCGTTTTGGCAACATGGAGTACAGTTGCAGCATTTGTCATGTTGAAATCGTGCATTGTCGTGTTGGTGTATTATGGCAAGTGCAGCCATATATTGCTATAAGACGCTATATTTGATCTTTTTGCTTCTGTCCTGAACACATACGGACAAAATGCTGTAGTCTTCTCTGCGGAGTTCAGTTGATGCTTCTCACAATTTATCAGCATGGGGCAATGCCGTCTTTGAGGCCGGTTTTCCAAAGTAACTCTTGAGATAAAATTGTGCTTACTTGCATGTCTGCTGAAGCAGTTTCAACCCTTTCGGTGTTTCCCCGGCCAACCGAAGCATGGACCCAGTTGGCTCAATCGTCTTTTTGGTGTACCAACGCCACCAAAAGCTCGTAACGAGCATACACGCATTACTCTCTTTGGTTGACATGCTTGGGGCTTGCTCGCCCTGAGTCGCAGTGGTGCTCTTGCTGCTGCATGCCTTGCACGCGGCGCTATACGGGCACCAAACAGCTGGCGCAGCCTTCGACACCGTTCGAACGAGCCATATGATCGCTACTCAATGGCGGAACTGCTTCATTACAGCAAATCGGGCGTCCAGGGGCCCATGGCAAACGCCCCGCCAGCCCAGCACGTGCGTGTCAATCCCCACCTGGCCCCCTTCACGCCTCCTTGGGTACCCGCCAGTCCGGAACCCCAGGCAGATTTCGCAGTGGACGCGGGTGTACGACACAAGCAGGTACGATGGTACGACACTTCGATTGAGGGGAACTTATTCAGTGAATCCCTGCGGGTTTTGGAGCGGGCGGTTTTGGTCGCTGGGGTCTAAAACGTCCAAGTCCTTTCCACCCAGGATGATTCGCAACGAGGGGCTCTTCCCACCACGGTGCCTTTTGCACTCTCTCTCTCTCTCTTGACAATAAGTTGTTGGGTTCGTTGGCTTATGTTGTGGGGTTCGTTGGATTCTGTTGTTGGGTTTGTTGAATTATACACCGGCGCGGTCAATCCCTAGGGCCAAGCCCTCTAACTCCTCCATGCACTTTCACGAAGTACATTCATCCATTGCTTCATTGATTGCAATATATGATATTCGTTGCAGCCTATTGACGGGGAAAAGCCCCTCGTTGCGAATATCATGTCCCCGAGGTTAGGTTAGATCAGTGCTTCCCAGGGAGGAGCAAGAATAAAGAAATGGCTGAAGGCCTTATAGTCCATCCCTTTTTAGTTACGTGCTTATCCTTCTGTCCTTCTGTCCACCTGTCCGTTTGTCCATCTGTCCGCCGGTCTGTCTGTCTATCTGTCTGTCTGCCCATTGCCCCAGGTGGAAGGGTACGTGGGCGCCTCTGCTGCCGCGGCGGCAGCTCTGGGGGATGACCAGATAGGCCGGGAGAAGCGCCGTACACCCTCGTGAGTCGTACCGGCCTGAAACCCGGGGTTTAATACTTTTCCTCCCACCTCCCCTCCCCCTCCCCCTCCCGTTCCTCCTCTCCTCCCCTGCACACACATACGCACATACACACATACACGCGAATGGGGCAAAAGGTGGGAGGCAGGGTGGGCGAGATGGCGGGATGCCGGCTGGGGGTGTGGGTATGGGTTGGGCTGGAGCTCCCCCTTTACGATGAGGGGTGGGGGCCAGCTGGGGTTGTAGTCATCCCCGTGATGTGTTCTTCAATTTCCCCTGTTGCATGTATGTATGTATGTATGTATGTATGTTTCACCCGCCCCGGATATCACCTTCTGCCAATCCTCCTAAACCCTACTTTCCCCCCTTTCTCCCCCCCTCCCCCCCACCCGGGCAGGGGCCCTGCAGCCCCCTACCAGAAGGCGGCTGCTCAGAGATCTGCGGAGAGGGCCATAAGGCCCTGGGACCCCATATCGGGGGCGGGGGAGCGGGCGGGGGCGGCCTTGCTGCAGGTGTGTGTTGTGTGTTGTGGGGGGAGGGGGGAGGGGAATGGGAAAAGAGGGGGGAGGGCAGCTAGGAGCTGAGGTGAGGTGAGGTAGGTGAGGTGGGTTGGGAGGCGAGACGGATGAGCGGGAAAGGGCCTGGGTGGTGGTTGCGGTGGTTGGTGGTGTTTTGCTTGGCAGGTGGGTGGTTGGGTGGTTGGGTAGTTGGGAGACCGGAACGGACCTGGATAGGCACGGGACGTCTGGTACGGGTCTGTTGGGTGCCGCAAACGCTTTTGAAGTTTAGTTCTTTCGTCCTTCATCATCAATGGATGCTTAGCCGCGTAACATGCCGTACACTTTACACCGTGCGCCGTACACCGTAATCCAGGTGCCAGGCAGCAACGCCGGCGTGGCTGCATTCGCAGCGCCCGACGTGCCCGCGTTGTTCGTACCGCCGCCGCCGTCGGCGGTGGCGGCGGTGGCGGCGGCGGCAGGGCGGGTGGCTCGCGGCGGACAGGGTCAACGCGCCGCGGCGGGGGCGGTATCCGCCGCTGCCGGGGCACCCCCCCGGGAGCTATGGGCGGCGGCGCTGTTCCAGCAGCCACCCAAGTATTGTACGGCATGCAGAGGTGGGTGGGTCGGGTTGGAGGGCGCTTCGGGCCGGATTACAGCCGCTGCTGCTCCCTCTCCGCGATAGGCTGTTGGTAGCCGATGTGGGGGTGATGATGAGGTGGTGTGCCACCCCTGCTACAGCTCGATGTTTGTCTGTCTGTCATTCGGCTGTTTGGCTCGCGTGGCGGAGGTGAGAGGATCTCCGTGTCTGTTTGTGTGTGTGTGTGTGTGTCTGTGTGTCTGTGTACGTGTATATGTATGTCTTGTTGAAGGACACGCGACGATGGTCATGGTGGTGGTGGTGGTGGTGAATAAATGACCATATGTTTATGCGTATGTATGTCCGTATGTATCTCTTCGTGTCATCGCGCGTGTGTGTATGTGCATATGTGTTTTGGAACCTGTGATTTTGCAGGTGGCCACGATCCTGCCAAGGTTGGCAACCCGGAGTGGCAGCCGTACAGTCCTGCCGTACGACTGGGTAACCTACAAATGCTAGATACCAAGTTCCGGGTGGGTGTGTGTGTGTCGGGTTCGGATAAGGCCCTCGGGCTCTGAAGGGAAAGTTGAGGCTTGGGTGGTGGTTCAATAACCGTTGAGGGGGGTTGCGGTATTCCTGGCGCGGGGGTCCTTGGGGGGGGGGAGGTTGGGAAGGTGGGGGAGACTGACTCCCACACACGCCACACACGCCGTTCATACACACACGTAACCCCACTCGCCCCTTGGAGGCTTCTCGTGCGGTTCCCGGGCCACTCCCACCTACTACCCTCCAACTACTAACCACCGTTCCGCATTCCTCGGGGGAGGGGGGGAAGCGTTGTTTTCCAGGTGCCTTTTCTCCCGGCGCCTCAACGCGTATGTTTGTCTGTATCTCCAACCCACACCCCGCACCCCCGATCCCGGCCCTCCGTTCCCCCCCCACCCACACACGCTCCCCGCAAAACACACACGTCGTGTGTTTTTCAGCGCGCCATGGTGAAGGGCCAGCTGTGCTTCCGCCTGAGTGAATCGCTGTGGGATCCCGTACGGTGGGTCGTACAGCCCGCCGTAATGCCCCCGGTGCAGTTCCGGCAGCAGCTGGCACTGGCCTTCGATGGTGCGTGTGTGTGGGAGGGTGTGTGGGAGGGTGTGTGGGAGGGTGTGTGGGAGGGTGTGTGGGAGGGTGTGTGGGAGGGTGTGTGGGAGGGTGTGTGGGAGGGTGTGTGGGAGGGTGTGTGGGAGGGTGTGTGGGAGGGTGTGTGGGAGGGTGTGTGGGAGGGTGTGTGGGAGGGTGTGGTTTCGGGGCTGGTGGCATGGGTTAGGGCTGCTTGATGCTCCCTGGTGGGGCTGCGATGGGGCGGTGTGGAGGGAGGGGGAAAGACGGACTGCCACGTCTGTAAAGCCGTCGAGGCCGTGTATCCCTCTCTCTTCTCTGTCTGGTACCCCCGGGGGGCACCGGGTGCTGTTGGATCAGTGCAACGGAGGCAGTCGTGGTTGCCCGTGGCAGCCCAACCAACCCCGCCAACCCCCCAACCAACCCCCCAACCAACTCCGCCGCTCCAGAGCCCAACCTTCCAAACCCCCTTCCCCCCTTTCTTCCCGGGACCCTAAAACCATTTTGAAAGTCTTCACACACACACCCCGCCCCGCAATGTTTTCTGTCCCATCCCCGGCCAGGTGTACGAGAAGGCCACGAGCCGTTTCGCTTCCTCGCCAGTCGTGCCGCAGAGGCCCTCCTGGCGGCTGCTTCGACCCGTGGGTCGCTCGCCCTCAGTGTTGCGGGGGCGGTTCCGGAGCTGGTCGCCCCTTTGAAGCTGTGTCTCAACACCATGCAGCCCCAACTGGTCGGAGGGCTGCTGCTGCTGCTCATCAGGTTATCACCCGGGCCCTCCCTGGGGTAGACGTGTGCGTGTGTGTGTGCGTGTGTGTGTGCGTGTGTGTGTATGTGCGTGTAAGAGAGAGGAGGGTTTTGCTCGGGTGGGGGACTTTTAGTACTGGGCTTCGGGGGCTGGGTTGAGTGCCTGGGGGTTGCTGCTTACTGCCGTACTTAACAATCAACTATCTTACACACGCAATCCGTTATGCTGCTTTATGTACATATGTTCCCTCTGCCTCCCCTCCCCCCCATCTCCCTCCCCCCGGCCCTTACAGCAGTTTGCGGCTTTGGTTGCCGGCAGGCAATCCTTGCATCATATGATCCCCCACTCCCTACACTCTTACACACCCTCAGCCGAGGTTCGCGAACCCCGCCCAAAACACACACACACACACACACGCATGTTTGCACGCAGGTTGCTCCGAGTGCACCCCTCCCTGGCCCCCGCCCTGGGCCCCCACTGCCGCCACCTGCTGCCAGTCCTGGCTGTGTTTCGGAGCCACCGGAGCCCCCTGGAGCTGCCCTGTCCCGTGTGCCTGCCACCTACCGGCAGTTTCTCCGGTGAGTGAGGGGTGTGAGTGAGGGGTGAGTGAGGGGGTGAGTGAGGGGTGTGAGTGAGGTGTGTGAGTTAGGGGTGTGAGTGAGGTGTGAGTTAGGGATGTGAGTGAGGGGTGAGTGAGGGGGTGAGTGAGGGGGTGAGTGAGGGGTGTGAGTGAGGGGGTGAGTGAGGGGTGAGTGAGGGGGTGAGTGAGGGGTGAGTGAGGGGTGTGAGTGAGGGGTGTGAGTGAGGTGTGAGTATGTCTGTGTGGAAGATTTGGAGTTGGGGGTGTTAGGCTGGTTGGCTGTATGGTTTGTGCGGCGGTGGAGGGGCCAGGGAAGCGGACGGTCTCACGCGATAAGGGGGGAACTCAAAGGGGGAGGCGGCGGTCCTCACCTCCTCCCCCTCCTCTTGTTTTTCTTTTCCTTCTCCTTTCCTTCGTTACCTTGTTCAGCTGCAGACCTTTTCTTTTCTGTGCGTGTCCCCCCCTTTCCCCCCCTCCCCCTCCTCCTCCCCCTCCCCGCGGGGTGGCGGCCCCAGGTTCCGGAGCGCCCCATGGGTCGGTCAGCCGGGCTTGCAAGGTGTGTGGTGCGCCTGTGTATCGGGAGTGGGACAGAGCGGCGGCGCGGGAGGCGGCGGCGGCGGAACCGCTGGTTTGGGGGACACCAGCGCTGGCGGCGGCGGCGGCGGCAGCCGTGGCGCCGGCGGGTAATGGTGCCGCGGGGGGCGGCAGGTCCGGAAAGCCGGGTTCAGCAGCAGCTGTAGCGGCTGGGCCTTCGGCTGCAGCGGCGGATCCGTCGGCAGTAGCTGCCACGCGGTTACCCGGGAGGATGTGCCAGAGGTGCGGTACAGGGAGCAGACTGGGTGGGAAGTTTTCGCATCCCCGTGGTGCGTGTATGTTGTTACCGGGTGGTATAGCTTCACCAGCGGCCCCCTTTCCCTTGGAGGCAGTTCCCTGCTCTCCCCTGCGAGAGGGGCACCTCACCCCATCCGACTTCAGAATGTATTCGTTGGTTTAGCATCACCACGCGGGTTCATCCAACCAAATCTAGCGGATCAACGGCGCCTCAACGTGGTGTATGTATGAGGTTGGGGTTGGGGCGGAAAAAGCATGTGGCGGTGCGGTGTTGTACTGCCTATTCTCAATCTTGCGTGGTTATGTCCGTATGTCCGTATGTAGGTACACGTTGGAGGCGCTTATCGAGGAGGTGTTGGGTCTCCTTGCGGCAGGGGGGGGTGAGGAGGTGCGACGTGCCATCCGCAGCTACGTGCCGGGTTTCACCTACTACCCCCCCCAGGTGCGGGGGTGCGTTGAGGAAGCTCGTACAGAAAACCGTGTGCCGTACACAGCCACGCCCTACGTGCCTCAAGTCCCCTGCCGCCCGCACGAGTGTCCGTACATGTAGTACTACACATTGCCGAGAAATTTGCATGCGAATCCAACAACATCTAAGCTCGGTGGCAGCTCCTCCCCCCCCAGCCAACACACACGACAACATACACAAAACATGCCCATGCCACGGTATTTTGTTATGACGGACCCTCGTCTCAGCTCGTACTGCATGGCTGTACATTGCCGTACAGGACCAACCACCGTGCCGCACGGTAGAGGAGCTCCTGGAGGAGTCCTGGAAGGAGGCTGCTGTACGGCAGCTCAATGGCGACGTACGGCCACGTCTACGGCGACCCAAGAGTGCACCGCCGCCGCCTACCCGGAGGGCCCGGTGGGGGCCGGGTCCCTCTCCTCCGGGGCGGCCATCAACAGCCCGTAGCAGCGGCAGCAGATCACAACAACAACAGCAGCAGCAACATGACCGCCAACGGCAGCCGGCGCCAGGGGCTGTACGGTCCTCGGCTGTGGTGGTGGTGGTGAGCAGCGCCACCGCCGTTGCAGCGCCGGGAGGTTCCCAACCCCGGGGCCGGCGGGAAGAAGGTGCAGATGGGAAGACATCACCATCACCACCGCCAGCAACAACAACAGCACCCTCGCCAGCAGCCGGGAGACGTCGAGGCCGGCAACCTGCTACGACGACGCGACGGCGACAAAGTGAAGGGGGTGGTGATGGTGAAGGTGATGGTGGCGGTAACAATAGCGGGTTGCAGCAGCGGAAAGAAGAAGGGGACCTGCTGGCGCGATGGGACGGAATCGAGTTCCGGGATGTGCCGTACAAATGGACGAGAGGCGGGGCGCCGCTGGTGCTGGAAGATGGTGGTGGTGGTGGCGGTAGCGGTGGTGCTAAGTCGACAGCGGCAGTGTTGCGCATCTCCACCCCCGTGCCCGTGTTTGACAGTGTGCATGACCCGCTGTACCGCATGCTGTTGTTGCAGAGTCCCCCGGATTACTCGGGTTGCGGCAGGGCGTGGTGGCGGCGAACAGGGGTCGTGGCATTGGTCAGTAGGGTAACGCTGTGGTGCTTATTTGTTGGGGGGTAAAGGAGAGAGCCAGAGCCCCCGGACCACTGCCATCGCCGTCAGGCTCCGGGAGGCGACGGCGGCCACCGCAAGGCTCCAGGTAGGCAGCAGGGGTTGGCCGCTACGTCACTACAAGGCAGCGGGGGGAGGCGGGGTGTTGGTGGACGCTACCAGTTGGTGGACGCTGCCACTGCCACTGCCACTGCCACTGCCAGGCCCCAGGCAGCGGCGGGCACAGTTCTGGATGTGAGACCTCGGAGGGCCCCCCCCCGGCTGGCGTGAGCCATTCGTGGATGAGGGCGAGGAGCCCCCGGCGGGGGTGCTGGATGAGCTGATGGATGGCTTGGGGGAGCTGCAGACGCAGTTCGACCAGGGCGTGCAGCTTTTGAGGTGGCGCCTACTGATGGAACGGACTTGGAGTGGAGCAGTGGATGCAGCGACGACTGGCAGGAGGACGCGGAGGAGGACGAGGGGGTGGTGATGTCACAACAGTTGGGCAACCGTTGCGCTGCACGCAAACGCTATATTGGCCGCAGGCGCCTGCCCGCGGGGGGGGGGGCGGTGCCGGTGCCGCAGCATGCGTGGCCGTGGTAGGCAACCCTGCGGTGCACGGGCGCAGTGGTGGTGGTGCACGGGGGTAGTGGGCTGGCAAACAGGGTATCGCAATCCTGTGGTGGATGCGGAGTTCAGAGACTCCGAGTCTGGGGACAGCGAGACTGAGGGTGACAGTCTGATATGCCCTCGGAAGGCGGGCGGGAGGAGGAGGAGGAGGAGGTGTTGGTGATGATGCAGCTGCCCCACAACCGCCGCAAGCGAAAGCTGCCCGACCGCCTGGACCGCTTGAGTGCGGCCCTGTCAGTCGTTGCGGCTCTGTCAGCAGCTGGCGGATGCAGGAGGCTTGCTTTCGTATGGCCCGTTACGCCTTCTTCGGGGAGTAACACAACTCCAGAAGGTATAACACACACATATGTATGATGTGTGAAACAGGGGGGTGTATCTTCGCCCGTGGCAGCTACCCTGCGAAACCCTGCCTTCCCCGGTATTTCGGGGCATCCTCATCCAGTCACCCTAGTCAACTTCTCAGTGGATCGCTCAGGTTCCGCACCCACCACCAGCATCCAACGGAATCTGCCGGGTCGACAGCGGCCCAACTCCATTACTGGTCGGCTCGCAGGTTAACTTCATCCCAGGTCACCACCGTCCATCAACTAGGGGCGCAATGCCTTCCACCATCGGAAGGACTATTGACCCTAATGGGTATCGATCCCGGGATCTCCCGGGGGCAATGGTCGCGCGTTACCAGTAGTGCCAAACCCTGTATGTATGTATGTATGTATGTATGTATGTATGTATGTATGTATGTATGTATGTATGTATGTATGTATGTATGTATGTATGTATGTATGTATGTATGTATGTATGTATGTATGTATGTATGTATGACGTTGATTACACTGTGGGCTGAAAAACCGGGGGCCCAGGGCCGAAACACAGCGCGGGGGGCGGGTGCATACGGCTGGTTAGTCTCATGCACTCCGCCCCCGGGTCAGGCCGCACGGGAAACGACGGCCGGCACGCAACAGCGCTCGTTTGGCGCTCCAACTAGACGGGATCTATGCCCGCTGGTCTCCTAACAGAAACGAAGTCACAACTGGGGGGCTCTTCCTGCCGACCGATGTATGTATGTATGTATGGATACTGTTGGCATGCGTGGCTTGTAATGACGCAACCAGCGCCTGCTGACTTCAGCAGGGAACCTATTAGCAGGTGCCCAATAGTTAACTACTGCTTACACACCAACCACCCAACATTAACGAGCGGCTGCGGCCGGCTCACATCGCCACGTGTGGGCTGTGGCAGGACGTCCCTGGAAAGCTAACGACCATGTAAAACCCTATATATACATATATATACATATATACATATATATGTATATACATATATACATATATATGTATATAAATATATACATATATACATATGAAAACTTGAAACTAACCGAAATTAATACCCCGACTCGACCAATATGGGAGCCGGTTTATTAGGCGGGGGCGACCTGAGCACTTCCTCCCTGCGCCTCCACCTCCTCGTCATCATCATCACCGTCGCCTTCATCATCGCCATTGTCATCGCCAGCATCAGGGAAACCCAAAGTTACTTGTACCGGAAGCTGAATTTCGCTGTCCAGCGAAGTGTAAAGTGAAGTCATTTCTCACTTCACTGAAATGAGGTGAAGTGGAGAGTTACTGAGAGCTCCTAGCAGGAAAACCTGCCTTTTTTGTCCCTCTCAACAAGTGATCGCATACACACATACACATATACATACACATACACATACACATACACGTGCATGGGCCTGGGCCTGGGCCGGTGCCGCCTACCAGCCTCATATCTACCCCACCTACGGCCCTAGGGCTACGTGCCCCCTGCGGCTTCATTCGCCTGACAGGGCGCGGGTGCAGGCGCGGGTGTTTGCCTCGCCAGCAGCCACGGCTGAACCCACTTAGCAAACCACTCCTCCGCCTCCGCCACCGTCTTGGACAGCAGGAAAAACCCTGCAGGTTTCGGAGGAAGGGGAGGGGAGGGGAGGGGCGGGGGGGGAAGGTAAGGAAAGAGTGAGGGAGATGTATGTAGCGAGGGTATAAGTAAGCACATTTCGTGTTGAATGTTGAAGTCCCCCCTGGATCCGACAGACAGCCAGGCAGGCAAACAGACAGATAGACAGACAAACAGCCCGTCAATGCCAGCCAACAGTCCCCAGACCAGTTTTTTTTCCAGTGGTCATCCGGCCCAGCCACTCCCACCATGTCCGCGCCTAATGTAGCAGCGGTTCTGTGGGTATGGGTGCAGTCGGAAGAGCGCCTCCAGCTCGGAAAGGTCCTCCGGAGTGGAGAACAGCGTCTCGTGGGAGCTGACAGGGAGACCTAGCTCAGCGGCGTACGACAAACCTGTACGGCGAACGGCGTACGGTGTACAGCAAATTAAGGATGGAGTTGGATGCATGGAGGTTAATGGAAGAGAAAAAGGAGAAGAAAAAAGAAGAAGAAGAGGGGGGAGGAGGAGGAGGAAGTCTCGCAATGTGGAGATAGGGTTCGAACGTGGGTTCCGACTGCAGGGTCCTCCCGTGTTGGTGGTGGTGGAGAGATCCAGTAAGTGGGTGACGGGGGAGAGGGGCAATTTTGAGACGGGGAAAACAGGACAGTGTTGACAGTCTGTGCCGTACAGGCGTATGGCAAGGAGAAGGGACGCTGGAGAGACCAGTTTTGTGGAACAGGTGGCAGCAGAGGCAGCAGCTGTCTGCGATGTTTCCAGATGCAAACTTATGTGTCGTGCAGGTTGCTTTTTGTGCCGTGTGTACCTTCCCCTTCTGCCAGCGCGTGCCCATGCAGCACCACTAACGGTGTATCCTGCCAGCCGTAATCTACCCCACGCGCCAGGGCCGCTGTCAGCAGCGGCGTATCGCTGGATGGTCGAATGGATGGCTCGCGGGAGCGGTACTCAGCAGCCCAAGAGATCCGGTCAAAGGCCGTAACCAAGACAAAATCCTTGTTCGGATCCAAAGCGTGTCCTGGAGGTTTCCCGGACATGCTGACCAGCGCAAGACCCGGAGGCCCTTGGGTCGGCGAATCGCCTGACTGCGCCGAAGCACTTGACATCTCTGTCGCGCCGTGGCGGTGTAAAATTTGAGGGTTTATGGCGCAGTTTCCAGCAACCTGTCCGTCGTTTAGGATGGGCGCTGCGCCCAGCGCCTCCATGCGGCTCATCAAGCGAGACAGGCTATGCAGCTCCGTGTGTGCATCAGTAAGGCACACAAGTTTTCCTACAAAGCGTGTTGTAAACTTGATCCGGGGTCGATCTTCCGTGATAAGTTCGGTCATGGAAGTTGGTCTTGCGTTTTGCTCGTTGAGTTACTTTTGACTGAATTTTCTATGCAGGCTGTATAGCCAGCTTTCTCCTATATATGTATAAGTGATCGTATGGAAGAAATGCCTTTATGGGCATTTTGTTTCTACGCCGACAGCTGTTTTACGGAGATAGGCGTTATTGTGGACCGGCTTTGCGGCTAGAAGCACCTGATAAATCAATATGAGTCAGCCGCTTTCCCAGCAGGATTACAATAGCTTGCTCTCATGCCTGCTTAATGCACTGAACCCGAATCCCGAGGTGCAAAAACAGGCAGAAGCTTACCTTCAGTCTCTCGATAGCCGACCGGGATTCAGCTCAGCGCTAGCTGTAAGCCCCCTAGCGTTCTAGACTTTGCATGGGACATGAATTGATCAGCAATTCCTGCCGCCGCAGGAAATCGTGAGCAATCGCGAGGCAGACCACAGCGCACGCTACTTGGCCTCGGTCCATCTCAAAAACAGCGTTCACAGGAACTGGAAGAAGCGAGTGTCGCATGCGTGAGTTGCGTGCTGTGCCCATGCGGTGCCCATGCTGAGCCTTGCCAGGGCCCCAGTCCGCAACCTTGCACGCTTTTGCTCTTGTGGCCCCTGGTCCTGCGCAGCTCCATCTCACCTGAGGAGAAAGCCCATTTGCGAGCCACGCTCTCGAAGCTCATCCCACAAGATGACAACCAGGTAAATCGCCCTGGCGCGGCTGCAACCCTTTTCAAGTCGCGCTACCTCCCTTGTCACACCCTCATACCCACCCCCCCATTCCACAAGGCGCCTTTGATCTAATACAGAACCACCACCGCCCACCGATCATCTACCGATTATCCTCCAGTACGGGTGTCTGTTCATATCCACACTTGTCCTGTCAGTGTCTTCGCCCTCGGTTTCTCCCTGCAGCGAAGGGTCTGGGGGTGCTGCTTACGAACGCGGGCAGCACGGGCCCCACCCTGCATCAGCGCGCGGTGGGCTTTTGACCTGGCAAAGCAAAACCCCCTTCCTGCCCGTCCTCGGGGCAATCCCCTTCTCCTCCTCCAATTCCTTGCCCGCCCGCCCTCCCTCCTCCGCCCTCCGCCCTCCAGCAGTTGATTCTCCGTCCGTCGGCAGTGAATCCGCTACACCTTGCGTCGTCATCACCATCATCATCATCATCATCATCATCATCATCACCATCACCATCATCACCATCATCACCATCATCACCATCATCACCATCATCATCATCATCATCACCATCACCATCACCATCATCACCATCACCATGTGACTAGGTTCCCTCCCTCCGTCCCCATATCCCTCCTCCTCCCTTCTCCCTCTCCTTTAGATCGCTGTCCAGGTTGCGCTGGTGTACGCCAAGGTGGCCAGGTTCGACTACCCCGCCGAGTGGCCGGGTCTATTCAGCGACCTGATGCTAAACCTGGGCTCGGCTAACCCCCTCACAGTGCGAAGGTAGGCAGCGGGTGAGAGAAGGGGGTGGGGTGAGGAGGAGGTTTCGGCGGCCGGAGGGTGGAGAGATAGAGCCGGGGCTGGGGGGTTTTGACGTATGAGGGTATGGGGAGGAGGGAGGGGGAGGAGCGCGGAGTGAAGCACGCTCTGGCCAAAGTGGGCTTCTCCCCTAGGGTCTCCACGCAGGTCGCGGTCTCCACGGACGCCTTTCGGTCAGTTCTACGTCTGGTACACTCTTGCCCTGGCAGCAGCTTCAATCGTGTGTGGTTCGTCTTTCCCCCCTCCCCCAGTTGTAACTGGAGTCCTCGGCATGCCTGATGTTCAGCCTGCATGTCCCCTTCGATGTGCCCCCCGTGGCTGTGACTGTGGTTGTGGCTGTGGTTGTGCCCGTGTTGTGGGCGGGTCCTTCTGTACGGGACCGGATTGCAAACATACATACCTACATACATACATCAGATTCCGTTGGATGCCGGTGGTGGGTGCTGAACTTGAGCGATCCACTGAGAAGTTGACTAGGGTGACTAGATGGGGGTGCCCCGAAATACCGGGGAAGGCAGGGTTTCGCAGGGTAGCTGCCACAGGGTGAAGATATGACCCCCTGTCCCACACATCATACCTACGTACAAACACGTACTTAAACGCACAGAGGTACATACTTACGCACAAACCGACAGGGTGTACCTGATCCTGCACCACGTGCTCAAGGAGCTCTCTTCAAAGCGCCTCGTCGCGGACCAAGCCAATTTTGCGCAGGTATGACTTAAACCTTATGCTGTACGGCGCAGGAAGGGACGTATGAATCTGTCCTGTCTAGCGTGCGTTCTGGTGTATGAAGGTAGGAGACACACACACACACACACACGCACACGTCCGTATAGCTTCACGTACCGCGTTCTGCAGTCTGCCTGGAGGGCGTTTGAAGCTATACGGACGTGTGTGTGTGTGTGTGTCTCCTACCTTTACAATCTCTTTTCCCCTTCATCATTCATTTCGCCGAATGTGGTGCACTAATGATGCATACAGTCATACATACAGTCATACATACAGTCATACATACAGTCATACATACACGCACGAAAGCGAATGTTGGTCGACAGCTGAGCCGTTGTTTCTTGCATCACCATCATCGCCATCATCACCATCATCATATAATTCGCCCTAACTCCCCGTCCCACATCGTTTCGCAGGTGACTGAGCTGTTGTTCGGCCACGTGTGGGGCCAGTGGTGCTCTGACACGCAGCTGCTGCTGAGCAGCCTGCCCGCGGGGCTGGAGAGCGCCGCACCGCCGCAGCCGCTGCTGCAGAGCTGCGAGAGGTGGATGCTGCTGCTCAAGGTAGGGTAGGGGTGTATGTGTGTGCATGTGGACCTCTGCCTCCGGAACCATCTGGAATCCGTTGTGACCCAGATCTCATACTCTGTCCCGTACTGCCGTACTCCGCACACGTCATCGTACAGATTCTCCGGCGGCTCATCCTGCATGGCTTCCCCTCGGATGCCCGCACCCTCGCTCCCGTGGCCGCGGCTCACAGCTGCTGTCCCCATATGGTGGCGGCGTTGCAGGTGTGTGTGTATCGGTGTGTGTGTACGTATGTGTGTGTTTGTGACATGGGCGTAGCTTGATATGGGTGTAGATTTATGTGTGTGTGTGTGTGTGTGCGTGTGTGTGTGTGCTTCATACACCTCGAGTTGCATTACTTTGTTATGTTGATTACCGTCGGCGAGTTATGCAGAAAACCTTGGCTGCTGAGACACTGTGACGTGGATTATTGGGGAACACTTTGCTTGGTACGGCAATGTACGGCGGCAACACCAACATGAAGGGTGGGAAAAAACACTTGAGCGCTGGTGATGCGTAGGGCCCCTCACGGTGGAGGTGGGGGTAGCAAAGGACGGCAACCCGAGGAGCCGTGTGCGTGGCCATACACACATACATGTCACGACTTAAACCCCCACCCAAAGACCCACCTACCTACCTACCTACCTACCTACCTACCCACCTACCTACCTACCTACCTACCTACAAGCCAAACCTGCGGATTACTTGCACTACCAGCCTTATGAAAGTCATCAAACCAGCAACTCGACCCCACCCCAGTTCACAAACCCCACTCGGCGGGGCCACCTCTCCCAAACAAGATTACCCAAGTCATCATCATCATCACTGCTGGTCAGTATATTTTCCTGAAATGCCACATTCGTCTTCCTCTCCTGGACTATATCCGTCTATACTCCTGGTGATCTGCGCTTCATTCGCCAGTGGTGTGGTTCGTCTCTATCCCCCAATCCCCCCAACCAAACACGGGGGTGGATGTTGTCCGCGTCCGCCTTCAGGGTCTGTTGGATGCTCGTCCCCGCGGCCGCGTCCTTCCTCGCTCCCACCTGCAAGCCATGTTGGAGCGGGCCATTCTCAAGCTGCTGAAGACACTGGCGCAGGTGCTGGAGGTGCACCCCTGGTGGGTGGGTGGGGGGTAGGGGGTGGGGTGGGTAGGGGGTGGGGTGGGTAGGGGGGTTAGGGGGATAGGGGGGTTAGGGGGATAGGGGGGTTAGGGGAATGGGTACGGGGGTGCGGTGGTGGTGATGGTGGGGAAGTAAAACCCTAAGTTTTTAAAAAATCAAAAGAAAATATATACGACTGTCGATACGTTGGATCGTTATCAGTTTTGTTCCATTCTACATTTTGCTTGCACAGACCACCTCTTCCCCCCCCACACACACACACAAACCCCCTTCCCCACAGCCACCAAACCCCCTTCCCCCACACGGTAAAACCCCAATACACACATACCACAACCACGCACAACCGTATATCCCACCACCAGGTCCTTCCATGGTGCGGGTGTGTTACTTCCGACCATGGACATGTGCACGAACCAGCTGCTCGAGGCGGCAGCTGGGGGCCAGGGGAGCGCCGGTGCCGCCGGGGGAACCACAGAGCGGGTCAGTGGCAGCGGCAGTGGCGGGGGTGGGGGTGGGGGGGCAGCGGGCAGCAGCCAGGAACGGCGGCTGACGCAATGCTGCGCGTTGCTCGTCACCGTCATGTCGTGCAAGTCGTACAAGGGATCCACGGGCTCGTTGGACACGTCGGGGCAACCACGGGTACGTACGGCAGTGCGGGGAAAGGCGAGAGGGAGGGGGGATTTCATCAAACTGTTTAGCGACCGAGGGGGAGTCAGTCTGTCAGTCTGTCAGTCACCCTGTCGCCGCTCTGTTGACTGTCGGGGGTAGTGGACTGTCGTCATGTTTTTAGCCAGCTCGGTGAAAAGGCTTGGATGGAAAGGAAACTGCTGCCGAAAAAGCCAAAACAGGCGTTCACACACTCTCGCACACACACACACACACACACTCTCTCTCTCTCACACAACACACACACACATACACACACTCACACACACACACATCTCGTCTTTCAGGACACCAGCCGGGTCAAGCAGATGGCGGCGGAAGTCCGAGCTGCCCTACAGAACTTCTGGGCAGCACCTGTGGCGGCAGGGGGGCCAGCAGCAGCAGCAGGCTGGGCCGCGGGAGGGGTGTGGGCGGCTGGCAGTAGCCGTCTGGTAGCGTTGGTCGGCGCGTTGGTGAGTAAGGGGTTTTGGTGGTGGTGGTGGTGGTGATAGTGCTAATAATGGCCGTGGTGGTTGGGAGGCAGAGGGAAATCAAGGAATTGCAATTTGGGGGAGAGGGCTACACCCCTCTCCTCCAGCGTCACCTCCCCTCCTCCCTTTCGGTCAGTTCCACGTTTGATACTCTCTTGCCCTGGCAGCAGCTTCAATCGTGTGTGGTTCGTCTTTCCCCTCCTCCCTCTCCCTAACATTGCTTTGGGCTTTGGTCTTAAGTGTGTGTGTGTATTTGAGCAATATTCATACGATTCCCCTCCCCCCAACTCTGCGAGAGGGGAGGGGGTCAGATGGCCCCATTTTATGGTTGGGTTTGTTTGGGACCCCTTCCCCGCCGCCGCCGCCATCGAAAGAAATTATTTCCCCTCCCCCCGCCCGATTTGTGGGCTTCCGCTGCAGCAGCTCCACTGCTGTAATCCCGGTGCGACGACCCTCCTGGCCGTTAGTTCCTTCTATAGGTGTGTTAGGAGAGGTTAACATTCGCAGCGTGACATTCGCAGCGTCAAAACGTACTAGTTCATGCGTATAACGCCCTTCCTCTCTCAACTCCTCCATCAGCCTCCACACCGAAACCCCCCACCCCAACGGCCCCCCCCACACACACACACCGGCTCCCTCCCCCCACCCTGGCCCCCGGCCTCACGTCTGTAGGTCTGTCGCCACATGGTGCTGTCCAAGTCCGATCTGGAGCAGTGGCGGGACTCCCCTGAGGAGTTCGCCCACTCGCACGCCGGGGGGGCCTGGCAGGACAGCCTGGCACTGGCGGCGGAACAGCTTTACCTGGTGCTGCTGCAGGTACGTGTGTGTGTGTGTGTGTGTGTGAGTGTGCGCGCGTATGTGTATGTGTATGTGTGTATGTGTGTGCGTGGATGTTTATGTGTGCGTGGATGTTTCTCTTCCTCCATGCAGGCCTTGATCGACTATTTCCTGCTCTTATGATTCCCCTACCTGCCACCTTTTAACCACCTTACCTTTTATACCGCCCCTCAGCCTCCTACGGCGGCTGTTGCTTACCTTTTATACCGCCCCTCAGCCTCCTACGGCGGCTGTTGCTTACCTTTTATACCGCCCCTCAGCCTCCTACGGCGGCTGTTGCTTTGACCTTGCATGTGTTGGCCTCCCTCCCTCCCTCCCTGCTATTTCCCACTTGCCTTTGAAATTGATTTTCCTCCCCCCTCCTGCAGCTGCCGCCACACCTCTCCCCTTTCCCTCCCCTTTCCCTCCCCTTTTCCTCCCCTCCCCCCCCGCCCCCTTC